AAGAAAGGCTATGACTAACCTAGATAGCATATTAAATAACAGAGAGATTACTTTGCTGACAAAGGTCCATATAGTCAAAACTATGGTTTTTCCAGTAGTCATGTATGTATATGAGAATTGAACTATAAAGAAAGCTGAGCACTTAAGAATTGATGCTTTTGAACTGTGGTGTTGGAGAAGACTCTCGAGAGTCCCTTGGACTGCAAGGAGATCCAACCAGTCCATCCCAAAGGAAATTAGTCCTGAATGTTTATTGGAAGCACTGATGCTGAAGCTGAAACTCCAATACTTTGGCCACCTGATGTGAAGAACTAACTCACTGGAAAAGACCCTGATGTTGTGAAAGGTTGAAGGCAGGAGGAGAAGGGGATGACAGAGGATGAGATGGTTGGATGGCATCACCGATTCAGTGAGTTTGAGCAAGTTCCAGGAGTTGGTGGTGGACAGGGCTGTGTGATGTGCTGCAATCCATGGGTTGCAGAGTTGGACATGACTGTGGAACTGAACTGAAGTGAACTGATATATATTTCCAATGCTGCTTTTCTGTATAGCTGCAGAATGGCCCAGAAATAGTGATCCATACTTCAGTCTGTGAGTTGAGTGTGGACTGGGAGTCAAAGGAAGCCAAAGCAGCTAGAATTCACAGTGCAGATTATCTGAGAAGAGAGGGCTAAGTATAGAGAGAACTCTTGGGATATGAAGAAGCTCCACCTCAAATGTGCAGCCGAGGATTGGTCAGAATATGCATCTGAGAAAAGTACTAGAGGAAGGCTTAAAAAAGACACCTGATGAAATATAAGGGCATAGTACTCAGAGGTCACAAACAGAGACAGATAGAGAGCCTATTTCAACAGTTAAAATAGAGAACTTTGTAATAACTAGGGCATTGGGTAGAGTACCAAGAAAGGTCTTACCTCAGTAGTAAGTAAAAATCCTGGACTAAATGTTGATGACTAATGAGGCTTGTGAGGAATACCTGAAAGAATGAAACTGTTTCCAAGTAACTTAACTGAATTTCAAAACAAAGCTCAAGAATATTTATAGAGAAAAGTGGTGGACTGGGAATCGCTAAGCCCTTGTTCTCCCATGGGAACACCAAGAAACTACCAGAAACTAGTATAAAAGCCTTATAAAAACTATGGAAAATTGTCAAAAGGCTGTAACAACCAAGCAAATATTCAGTCAAGAAAAGTCACATTCAGAACAGTAAAATATTTCATGACGTTTGTACTTTCTGCCCCGCTCCCCTTCTCAGTGTAGTGTAGTTTTGGTGTAGAGGAGGTGGCAGCCTGATACACAGTTCCCTCCCTTGAAACAAAGGGAGCAGTTGTTCATTCACTAAGTCATGTCTGACTTGAGCTGAGCAGTCCTTATTTGAATGTTCTGACCATCTTAGGGCTGTCTAAGGATTGGGCTCTATATCCCCTAATTCAGATCTTAGAGAGAAATGGTGGATACTGCTCATGAAAGCTATAAGGGGACTACAGACCCCCTGGGTAAGAGATTATGGACAGAGACATAAAGTAGACCATTGAAAGCCCAAAGAAGAAGCTAAAGTGAGATTCTTTGGGAGACTGAGTCACTCAAAAGTAGCCATAAATAGGTCCAGCCAAGACACCTGTTTAGAAGAGACCTGAGAAGACCTTAAACTTTTCTGTTGAGCTGATTGCTAGGCTAATTAGCTATGCCCAGCTAATTAGAGTACATGCCCAGCTAATTAGAGTACTACCCCAGCATAGAGCCAGTCTGTGATGACTGAGAGAGGTAACTATTTTTACAGATGCCCAACCTTCAACAAAGAAGTCACAAAGGATACCGATAAACAGAAGATCATGGCCTGTTTAAAGGAAGAAAATAAACTGTCACAAACTATCCCTGAAGAAGCACAGGCATTAATTAGATTTACTAAATAAAGACATTAAAACAGCTCTCTGAAATATGCTGAAGGAAACTAAATGAAAACACAGGTAAAGAACTAAAGGAAATAAGAAATATAGGAACAAAATGAGGATATCAACAAAGAGAAGTAAAAAGAAACTAGAAATTCTAGAGCTAAAAAATACAGTAAGTGGATGGAAAGATTCCCTAGAGGGATTTAACAGCAGATTTATGCAGGCAGAAGAAAGGAACAGCAGACTTAAAGATAGGAGATTTGAAATTATCAAGTTTAAGGAGCAAAAAAAGAGAATGTTTTCCCTCTAAGATTGGTAACAAGGCAAATATGTCTGCTCTCACCACTTCTTGTCAGCGTTATACTGAATGTTCTAGTCAGTGCAGTAATGGAGAAATAAAAGGCATTCAGATTGGAAAAGATGTAGAATTGCCAGATATTATTATCAATTTGGAAAATATTAAAGAATTTACAAAACATAGCTACTACAACTAATAAGTGAATTTAGCAAGATTGCAACATAGAAGATAAATATTAAATTTCTATTTCTATATACAAGCAACAAACATTAGAAATTGAAATAAAAAACAATATCACTTTTAATAACATCATAGATTTGACATAGGGATAAATTCAAAAAATATGTACAAGACTTGTACAAAGAAACTATAAAAAATTTCTAGGAGAAAATAAAAATACCCTAAAAAAATGGAGAGATGTACCATATCTGTGAATTGAAAGACAATATTGTTAAGATATCAGTTCACTTGTAGGAATTTTTCTTACATATAGACCCATATGTGTATACAAGGATTTATATATATGAGATTTTTATTCAGTGCAGAAGACTGTACATAAGTAAATATCCGTGAATAGAGAACTGAAGGTGAGTTGTGTTATAGTCATATCAAGGAAGACATGACAGCCATTTTAAAAAGTGACATGAACAAGATATATTTAATTATCAAATTAAATAAGAGAGAAAACTGTCTATACTACTGTTTTTGGAGAAATACATACAAATCCATTTGGTTTGGGCTATATTAGACTAGTTAAGAAAGATACACAGGAATCTGATAGAAATGACTGTCTCAAGGGAAGAAAAATGGGAGATAAGAGGTTGAGAAGACAACATATTTTCTACATACCTTATTCTGCCTGTTGAATTTTGTACCATGTATATGTGAAGTGTGAAAGTCGCTCAGTTACACTGACTCTTTGAGACCCCATGGACTATACAGTCTGTGGAATTCTCCAGGCCAGAATACTGGAGTGGGTAGCCTTTCCCTTCTCCAGGGATCTTCCCAACCCAGGGATCGAACCGAGGTCTCCCACATTGAAGATGGATTCTTTACCAACTGAGCCACAAGGGAAGCCCACCATGTATATGTATGTCTACTTAAAAAAAAAAATGAAACAATTTCAGTGATTGAAATCAGTTAAATGCAGTTAAATCCTTCATTGAGAGGCCCAACTTCTCCAATCTTTATCCCACAAGTCCTCCCCATTCTGCCCATCTACGCCTCTGCTAGAAATGGACCACATTTCTAACTGCCAGATGTGCTAGTGGCCCATTCCTCAGCATTCTGCATTTGTTAGCAAGTTTCTCTCCCACCTAGAATAGACTCCTTTCGCCTGTAGCTGCGCTTTTAGACCTAACTCTAATGTCACTCTATCCAGGAGCCCTCTCTCCCACGCTGATCCTCACTATGCTTTCTCTCCCCTGGAAAGGGTTGTTTGTGACCTGGGCCTCACAAATGAGTACATGATTCCATATGTTTTGGATTGTTGGCTCTTGCTTTGTGTGATGTCTTATGTTGGAAACTAGGATAGCAGAAAGGCAGCATGACTCAAATGTCTTTGTACTCTTAACACTGCCTTGCTTAGGGCTGAGCATAGATTGAGGGCTCACCAGTCTTCAGTTGGGAGAAGGAAATGGCAACCCACTCCAGTGTTCTTGCCTGGAGAATCCCAGGGACAGAGGAGCCTGGTGGGCTGCTGTCCATAGGGTCGCACAGAGTCGGACACGACTGAAATGATTTAGCAGCAGCAGCAGCAGCAGTCTTCAGTTGGGTGAAAGATTAGATACTGGAGGAAGGACCAAGGAGTATCTTCAGAGATTTTGAGTTCAAGGATTTTTGGCTGTGAGACCACTGTCACCAGGGAAAGATTTTTTCCCTCAAAGAAATTAAAAAATTAGAATTTTAGAGAAATATGACAATATCCACAGAGGTCAGGTAGGTTACATAAATGTGTAAATAAATGGTCATTATATAGGAGTGATGGGCCCTGGTGATGAATTAGAAAACAACTGGCTTGCTTAAAGTTTTCAAAAATTCTAGTTAAAAAAAAAAAAAACAGAAAAATTCCTTTAGGCAAACAGCAGATATCCAGAGTAGATGAGTAGATCTAACCACAATTAGCAACTACTTTATGACTTTAAGTCAGAAGTGGTCACTGACACTCACAGAGATGCAGGTAGGCATCTCTGTGAGAAGACAGAATTCTGTAACATGGTTAAAATAGCTCTAGAAAACTAACTCTTAAAAGAGATGCCCAAGGAAATCTCATTAGTGTGTCTCAATGGAAGGCAGTGTTTACAGTCTCTTCTCACTCATCTGCAAGCTTGAGGCCACACAGTGTGGGAGGCATTCCTTTCTGATTCCCACAATGTCGTTTTAAAGATGTTACCACTTTGACCTGTCCCTGCTGCTTCAGCCATGGTCCCTTCAGGCACCTCTGATTTCCCATCACCCACTGCCTGTAACGTCAAAGCTCTCCATTTCCAAGCCATAACCAGACTGGCCATCAGGCTGGCGGAGGGTATGGAGACTGAAGACAGAGTGGGAGCACAGACACTGCCCGTGCGTGGCACCTTCATTCCTTACAACCAGACCGCCTCATCTGCAGATGGAATTGCCACATGGGCTCTTTGACGCCACACCTACCCTGTGACGCAGAAGGGCTTTGTGATGCAGTCTGGTAGCTTGGTTCCGTCGTCTGTGAGGCGGAGACAGATGTGTAGCCTTGGAAGTCAGTAGGTGCCAGGACTCTGAATGCCTACATTCATAGGGATGGTTGGTCTCCTCGTGATTATGAGGTTTAGACCATGCTGAGCCAGACTTTTGTTCTGTGGGATTTGGGGTATCCCTTATATACCTATGGCTCCATCTTCATTATTATTCTAATCATCTGGCAAGTGAAAAAGAGTTACCATGGATTAACGGAACATAAAAGGAGCTGCTGCCGGGTAGGGAAACACCATGACCAGGACTGAACTAATTAAGCCTTAGATAAGATGCTTTTAAGCTCCCAGTATCTCTCCTTTTATCCTTCCTCTCCACCTGTCTACCTCCCCACCCATATGTTTTTTTTTTTTTTTTAAACCATCCATTAGTTACTCTTATATGGTATTTCTCTTCTCAGTGCCTAGAAATAATTTCTTACCAGACTATCCCTGCAGAGTATTCTAATTGAAAAATCAAGAACATCTCTATCTGGCTTGGGTTGAGACTTAGATGAAATGGATCGTGCCTCACTGGCTCTTCGAAGACTTCCCTTTATGGGAGATTTTTCTGGTTTGTGGTCTGTTAAGGCACTTGCAAATTGAAGTCCTTTTGTTATTAGATCTACACAACTTTATTCTGTTCCACCCTTTCTCTTGTTACATTATAAGCTTGATACAGAACTTCTCTTAGGAAATAAATGGGAGGCATGGAGGATGGAAGAGCCTCAAAATGAATCAGAAATAAGAGAAGGCAAATATTGAGATGAAACACAATAGGAGTATGTAAAGTTAGGAAAGTAAATAAGATATAGGTAAATTAAAAAGGATTAGGTAATCTATATTAGCGTTGTCTTGGTTTGGACATGAAAAAGAAAATGGTGTCCCAACTTCATACTCCAACTCTTTTGTCTTTTAAGCGTCACCGAAAAGTCAGACAAAGGGCTAGAGATGCAGCATCAAGAGGTAAAGTCCCAGTCTCTGCTCTGACTTCCCTCCCCTGGGGTGAGGCTCCCATGGACCATGTCCCCCAGTGACCCTTAGTACCAGGCACCAGGTGCTCTAACTGCTGAAGGCTCCAGTCCCCAAGTTGACAGATTCTCCCAGAAGACTTTTATGGGGGGTGGGCAAGGGGTCTGCAGTCTCCTGTCATTCAAGGCTTTCAACTTGCTGTTGGATGTCCCTGAATCCCCTCCTGTTCTGTGTAACACTGTCTCCTGGTTTCTCAGCTAGGAGACATTCCCAGAAAGAAGCTGACAAGCTGTGGGAGCTGCTCTCAGTCATTCGAAGGTAACCTCTTGCTCTTTGCAGTCTCCCACCTCCAAAGTGGCCTGTGGTGATTTCTGTGTTTGGCCTGGGGCATGGTTGGGAGAAGGGGAATGGCCGAGCGGGAGCCAGACACAGGTAGCCTGGAGCCCTGGGTGAGGGTTGCGGGAGGAGAAGGTGGGGTCGGATGTCTCAGTGGAGAGGGGTCTTCAGCTGTGCTCTGGGCTAGGCTCACAAAAGTGCTGGAAGTCAGGATTTAACTATGTGGGTTTTCTCCCAACTGTGAGACAAGTTACCCAGTCAGGAGAATGGATAGTTAAGTGCATAAATGAGTCATCATTTTCATATTCTCTTTACAGCCACACCCTTTCAAGGGCAGGCCCCTGGACCCTGCTGACATTACCTCCTCTGGTTCTGTCTTCAGGGAGGCCAGTTCCTGGACAATCCTCAGGCAGGAGCTTGTCATATTATCCCCTTCTTAAGAGCTCTGCAGAATGAGGAATTGGCTCCCAAGTGATGTTGTTTGCACCTCCTAATCCCCAGAATGCAGAGTTCCCACAAGGACTTCCGTGGCCCCAAGCGAGGCTGACTCCAGGTTCTACCTGGTGATGTTGTTGGTGCTGCCCCATCAGCTAACCATTGGCTCTCCCACCTGCCTGGTTCCCTTCTCCTAGTTCAGCTTCTCAGCACAGGTCAGCAGAGAGCTCACCCACCTCCCAGTTTCTCAAGGCCCTGTATTTCCATCAGTTGCCTGAGACCTTGCCCAGCAAGCTTCAGGCTCTCAGCCCAGCCCACTACAGCTTGCCAAATGGCATTTCCCTAGGAAGAAAAGTAGACACTTAAACACCCAGTGGTTGCAGGCCTCAAGAGTTTATGGGGCGAGGAGGGCAGGTCCAATCTCCAGTCCACGCACTGGCCAAGAGTAACAAACAGTAACAAACTGCCCATCAGTAACAAACATTTGCTATGTTTCCCTTCCCAGCCAGGGCTGGCTACCTCAGGAAGGGAGTGTGCGGCAGATCCTTTGTACAGATCCCTGCTGCCAAACCTGCAACACCATGGCTCTGGAGATTCAGCAGTTGTTGGGTGAGAACACCCTAATCTCCCCCACTTCAGGGGATACCTCTCAGGGCTCCTGTTGCCTAGAGGTTTTGCCCATGTCTAATGTGTCTTTTGAGCAGAGTCTGGAGCATCGTTCCCCACACTCCAAAGACCTTCCACTTCCATCTGCAACCCTCACAGTGTCACAGAAATCCTTAGCCCAGTCAGCGGCCCAGTCACCTGGTGCAGCCGGCATCCATGATTACTGGGCCGAACATCTCAAGCTAAGGCAGGGATTCCAAGTGCTAGAGGTTCCCTCAGGCACTGAGGAGCCTAGAATCTCAGTGAATCTGCAGGAGACGGTGCAGAGCAACCTCAGCCTCATCTGTGGGAACCAAGTCCAGGAGCCCTTAAATCCTCAGGTCTCTCTGCTGACCCTGAAACAGGAAATTACTACCCTGATACATCCAGTGGCCTTGCCGATGGTCACTGTCCTCCCTGCCCACCTGCCGTTCCTGAGTCCTCAAGTCCTGAGACTTCTTGAGGTCCATGTGAAAAAATGGATGCATTTCCAGAGGTGGGGGCTCCCCAGGCGTGTAGAAGAGTCCCTGAGGCAGCTGATGCCAAACCCGCCACTATTTTACCAAACTACATGTAACCAACCAGTTTCTTTCATCCACAGTAATACTTCACACTTCTCTGTTGAGAAACTTGGGACCATTTCATACCAGAACTGGGGCTCAGGTATGGCTGGCCAGCCTACTCAGGCCTTCTGGGTTTCTGAATGGTGCATTACGGATCCAGAACAAAGACACCTCTACCAGCAAATCCCCAACCGTAAGGCTTTAGCCTGGCCCTCTTCAGCCCTTAAAGAATTAAGTGGCCTCTATCTAATGTCTGAGCAACAGGCTAGTGACTCAGTGGGCCCCGTGCAGCCAAAGTACAGCCAGCTATTCTGTGGCCTGCCTTCTCTGCACAGTGAGTCGCTGGTTGGCACCTTCTTGGCTTCTCAAGGCCTCTGCAAGGATGAGAGCATGTCCAAGCCCCACTTGAAGGATCCCTTTCTCCTCAAGGAACTCTCCTTCCTCCCTTTGTTGCCTAAAACTCCAACCCAGTCAACTCCACTCTCTTCTCTGTCTTCTCAAAATTGTGTTGCTCCATCTGATCACCAACAAGCTCACATCAATGTCCCATTTCTGACTCTGGACGAGTGTGAAGCCCTGGAGTGGCACCTGCTGCAGAGGCAGCTCCAGCTTCAGTGGGACTTGCCAGATGTTTTCCAGAGAGATCAGCATGTCCAGAGCCCCGTGCAGTGTAAGCCCGGTGACAAAGCCCAGTCTTCTGAGGCTCTGAAACCTTCCTGGCCGGGGCAGCCTGCCCCAGTCCCCACAAGGGAGCTACTCTTCCCGCAGCACACCAGGAGGCTGCTGGGATACCACCTGCAGAGACAGCTGATTCACCACCGCTGGGGCCTGCCCCAGAAGACCCAGCAGTCCCTCCAGTTGCTCCTGTCCCCCACTAACCAGCAGACTGCGTCCTGGAGCAGCGCGGCCCTGGACGGTGTGAGTGGCCCCCAGCCTGCATGTCCGGAGGCCACTGGAGCTGACGGCCCATTCTCACCTCTTGTGGGCCCATTGTCTGTCTGCATGCCACACTTGTTTGACCAGGCCAAGGCAATACTGCGGGGCCATATCAACTCCAAATGTGGGCAAATTCACCAGGGCAACATCCCCGCCTGTGTGTATAGTTCTTGGGAGTGCATAATTCCTGGGGTCCTGGAAGTGACTCCCTTCCGCTGCATCCTGGAAAGCAAGCCCCTGGAACTCCAGGCAGCAGCTGACCAGGAGCCTCAACAGGAAGTGACACCCGGGATGCCAGTGGCCCTCGATCAGCAGCAGCAGGTCTCACCAAAAGCTGTCTTTGAACATCCTAAGCTGCCCGGAGTCCTGTCAGAGGCAGCCATTGAGAAACTGGAGACAGCTTTGCGGCACAAGTATCTGGCCTTCTTGTCAGGGCTGCCGGCTCTTTATTGTGTGGCTCTCTCCAGGGCCATGGCCCCAGCAACCACGTCAATCACGTCCCCAGCTGTGATCACAGAGATGGTGCCTGAGCCTGCTGAATTCTCAACAGAACCTCTGACTCAGGTGACCTCACCTGAAGAGCAGGGTCCAAGTCCTGGGCCAGGCCTTCAAGAGGCCAATGAGACTCTTTCAAACACTGCAGAAGAATTCCAGGAAGGAGTAATTGAGATGCTGCCTATAGAAAGCCAGACAGAGCCTGAGAGGCCCTCTTTACTCGGGGAACACATCTTGGCCAAAATGAATTTCCATCTGAGAAAGAAGATCCTAGAGGCACAAATTGGAATTCCCATAAAGGCGAGAGAGTCTAGGGAACAAAGTATAGGAACATCAGAGGATGTATGTACACAGGAGTCTCTTGAGAGTTTAAACAACCAAGGACAACCACTGCTCCAGGAACTCCCCACCCCACCAGATGTGCCGTGTGCCCCAGACCCAGAGTGGCTCCACCTCAAAGAACAGCTGGCCACTGAGTTAAAGGCAGTGCACCAGAAACAGAAGCAGCCCAGTTCCAGCATAGTACCCCATAGTTCTGGCCCCTGGGCTTCCAGCGCCTTACTCAGTGGGGACATGACAGAGGCCCAGGTGCTTTGTGTTCAGCTGGAGGCCAGTGTGAACAACCCCAGTCTGGAGGAGCCTTGGAGCCCTGAGCCCCATAGCCCTGACAAGAGCAAGGACTCAGCCCAAGTCCCCACATTGGCAGAAAAGAGAGAGGAGCCAGGCAAACCCAGGTTGGCTGGGGACCATGGAGAAGGGGATGCCGGGTTCACACTCTCCTCCACGAGAGAAAAAAGCCACTCTGTTGAAGGCCAGAGGCCAGAAGGGATACTTCTGAACAGGACACCTCGCAGCCCCTGGCAACAGAGACGTCGCTTTCACCTTGATGCTTCCTGTCAACACAGTCCTCGGCATTGCCCTCCGCCTAAACTCCCAGAGCTCCCTCCTGGAGTCCCTGGGGGGAAGGATTCTGAGAAGAAGGACCTGCAGGACAGTCAAGCAAAGCTCAGTGTCACCCTCAAACCAGCAAGGGTTCCCGAGAATGCCCAGCCTGTGGTGCCCCAGGTGTCACAGGGCCAGCCTTTCCTGGGCCAGCTCACGGTGGGTAAACCATTGCAGGGCCGAGCTTTACAAGGTCAGGTCTTCCAGAGGCAGGTGGTGCAAGGTCATCCTCACAAGAGGCCCAGCCTTCCAGAATCTGGCCTGAGAAATAAGATGAAATCTCTTCTGCATTGTATTACACCCAAGGCAAAAGGCAAAGGGCATGAGGCATCCATGTCCTCTACCTCTGAGAAAGTGGCCTGCCCCAGAAGAGAAAATGTGGAAAAAATCTCAGCTCCAGCCAAAAGTCCCAAGGGGCGAACTAAGACAGGGAATTCAAGAGGGGGCCCCAAGGCCCAGTTTCCACCCCCTGAGAAGCAGATGGGCCTGGCTTGCATGGATGTTGCCCACTCCCCAGACAGTAAGCTCCAGCACCACTCCCACCCCCATCAGTTGCACTTGGGCTCAGTCCTGGGCGCCCCCCGCCACTGCCCGCGGCACTGTCCACGAGGGGCTTGTGCCACCCCACCAAAGAGCCCGCCCTGAGCCTCAGCTCTTGCCTCGGAAGGAAACTCTGGTCTGTGCAGGAAGACCCAACACAGTCAGAAGACTTTGTAGTTTCCCCAGTGTCTGCATCCCTTGAGGAGGAATGCTCCTGTCACTTTTATTAATGTGCAGGTGGGCAGAGTACCGCCCAAATACACTCTATATATCTCTAAGCAGAGAGTTGTGTGTCTGCTGCTTTTCTCCACCCTGGTGTGCTCAGGGAAGGCATAATGGAGGTAAATGTCCTTCCTATCTAGGGAAGAAACTTTAACCCGCTCTTAAGCTGGGTCAGCATTCCACACTCCCCTGCACCCCCACACCCTCTGGACTGTGGATAAAAGGGACTTGAGCAGAGAAGGAAGGCCCTTGTCTAAGGTACACTGAAGTTAAAGGTCAGACTTGAATTTGATTAATATCATGGTGTCCTTGGGCCCAGAGAAGCAATGTGGATGTGAGGGTAGTATTGTCAAGAACGAGTGGCCAGGAATTTTTTGCCCCAGGCAGAATTCACTGATGACTTCTATATATATGCTCACAATCTGGAGGGGAGATATTTAGGAGAGTGCCAGTGTTCCAATCTTGAGGAGGTGCTTTGTATTATCAATAGCATATAGATAATATGACAAATACCAAAAACAAATGATAGACTCTCCCCTTCTGCTCCTGTTGATTATGTTAGATCTTTCTGGAGAGCTCACCTGGGAGGTGGCTGTAGTTCTCTTGTATCCCATCTCCTCTATCAGCTGCATGGAATAAGTGACACGGGGAATGAAGATCACAGTAGGACATGGAAACTCCCAAGGGTAGGCAGGAGAGAAGCAGGAAGGGAGAGCATGTAGATGGAGGTCTGAGTACTTGGGATAGAAGCTGACATGGTCCTGAAGAGGGCATAATAAGAGAAAAGACTGGTTTGCTTGAACCAGGAAGCCAACCCAGTGCCCACGTGCTTTTAGGGGATGGGGATGAATAAACTGAGTTTTGGTTGTTCATAGTGTGATGAAGAGCAGTGAGTTGAACCTTGTTGTCCAAAGGCAATGCAAATTAAAATTTCTGAACACTCACCCTCCACCCTACAAAATTGTTGTCCAGTGTTAGGTTGGTATAGCCTATAAACCCGTGTTTTTGCTCATCTCAAACATGAAGTCAGTGACTGTTTTCTAATCTTGATATATCTCAACTTTGCCCCCTTTTTTCTGTGTTTACTGTCTCTGTTAAATTACTCATTCATTCTTGCCTAAATAATATAATAGTGTCTCATATGCCCAGGGCCTAGGATAGTGGCTGGCATAATACCTTAATGGTACTTGAATACAAAGTCTGGGCTGTGGAGGCAGACAAATCATTACATTAGTATGTTGAGTGCTGTGGAATAGGGAGTCCTGCCATGGGATTACTGGGGTACTCAGCTCAGAAGGACCCAAGAAGGGTCACAATAAAATTGCCTTGATTATGCTGTACACCTTAAACTCACACAGTGCTGTATGTCATTTATATCTCAAAAATGGAAGGAAGATAAAATAAGTTTAAAAAATAACTGAGAACTATTTTACATTCAATTAAAATATTTATTTACTATATGCAAATAGCTATAACTAACATGGCAAAGGCATAGAATTTATACAGTGGAACTCGTTATTTCATGGGATAGACAGTCTACACGCCCAGATTGTCTAATCGACACATATACTTGAATGTCCAAGATTCATCTCAAAACTATAGAATGGTAAATGCTTGATTTCCTGTGCCCATCCATTATCTCATTACACATATGAAACATGCTCCAATCACAGTATTCATAACATCAGTTGATGGCAACAGCATCTTTGCAGTTGTTCAGGACAAAAACATTGATGTCTTCCTTGACATTTTCCCCTAACTGTCCATATCCAGTCCACTCTGTTGTCTCTACCTTCTGAGATGAATTCATAACACTACCACTTCTCACTCACTCTGATGCTATGATTACTGCAGTAGTATCATAACTCACCCCAACTTCTGCCTGAGACCATACTTCTAACAGTCTGTTCTCAACACAGAAGCTGAATACTCCTCAGGAAAGGTCCTGACTATAGATGACTGGATAGAAAGATAGATTAAAGTTAGATGATGATGATGATAAAGAAGAAGATGAAGGAGGAGGGGGAGAGGGAGGAGGGGAGGAGAAAGAAAGGCGTGTAAAACCATGAGGCTGGATAAGATCATCCAGGCAATGATTGTTAATGAAGGAAAGATCTAAGGACCAGGCTCTGGTACACCCCAATATTAAGAATTTGGAGGAAAAAATAGGCACCAATAAGCAGAGACTGAGAAGTAGTCAGTGAGGTGGGAGGGAAATCATGATGCAGGAGAGAAAGGGAGAACTGCAAGAGCGGCAATGTCATGGTGCAGAAGTGTAACATAATAGGAGTAAGTCCCCGGTGAAGGGGTTGGCCTTGGCTAAAAGCACAGATGCTTCACCGGTGCTAAGTAGAGAGAAGGTAGCAGTAGTGAGGAGGGACTCTGTGTCTCATGCAAAGAATGGTTTCTCTATAATTAAGGGAGCAAGGCAATTACCTAAAGGGGTGAATGAGGAACTGGGAAAGATCATGACTAGGGAAGGGGTTGATACCTAGAGCCAAAGCCAGAGATGAAGAGGAATTCTGGAAGTTACCATGGCAGGTTTTTTTTGTTGTTGTTGTTAGGGCCTAAGAAATTGGTGAATTCCTGAGGAGCAGAAAAAAACAGTTGAAGTTAGTGGTCATGTGATAGCAGGTGTGGCATCCTAATTTTCAGCCAGGGACCAGGGAGTTTTGGGGGCTGGAGGAGAGAAGTAGGAAGCAGAAAGACAGAGGCTGCCCTGAGTGGATGGGAGGGGACTCTGTTCTGGACACTTCGTTTCTCCTAGAAGGCGGCATCTCTGCATTCCCACCTTCTGCCCTGCCAGAGGGGACAGTAAGGGCAGAAAGGGCTGTGGCCTCCGTCAGCAGTACGGGGCTGGGGGATGCCCTGCCTCACTGATTCCGAAGGAAATCCAGGATGGCTGCCCGTGCCATCAACCAACAGCGGGGGCGGGAGGCTCCCCCTCTGACAGGACCCAGTACTTGGCACTGTGTGCCCACTGCCGGCTGGATGCAGAAGAGGCGGGATGGGGAGAAGCGTGAATGTGTCCCTCCTCTGAGTGGTGATTCTGTGCCGAAGGGTAGCAGCCCGGCCCTTGCTGTGGCCCCCAGGGCGAGGAGGCAAAGGCCCAGGCTGGCTGAGCCACATCGTCCAGAGTTTTCCTAAAGCATCCCCGAAGGTCATAGGAGGTCTTGTGACAGGCAGATCCGCCCTTCCTGGTGGGAGTTGGGCTGAGAGCCATGTAGGAGGATGCCCAGGAGAAGGAATGTGACTCAGAAGGGTCACAGCAGTGACAGGTGGGAAGCTGAGGTTAATGTGCACACATTCTGGCTGAGGTGGAGCAGGTCCTTCCCTTGGTCCTCCACAAGCTGCCTGCCCTGGAAAATCATGAATTCACAGTGCTGACCAAGTTTTGCAACAAAGAGCCAGGGGCAGAGAGTTGATCTGAAACAAAGACCTTCAGGATTCTTAAGTCTCAGCAGAGTCAAGAGCTGAGAGAAGTGTCAGAGCCTATGATTCATGTAGGATGTTGCAAGGAGATGAAGCCTTGCTCATCTCATCCTATAACCCTAGCACAGGCCCCACCTTCCAGCTCCCCCTCAGCTCAAGAGGTAAAATGAGAATGGAAACTCATGGCAGGGTACACCTCAAGTATTTCCTATTCCAGAATTGGTGGTAGATGCTAGGAATATATCGTTTGCTTGGGAAACTTGGAGTTTGCCTCTGCCCTCTGAGATACCATGTTGTCATGGCAAAAGGCTCTGATCTTTTGGAGTCCTTCTCTTGTTCTCTGCAGAGAGCATTTCAGAATTCTGGAGAGAGAATTTAAGGCATCTGACCTCTCCTGCACTGGAGAAGAATGGCTTCTCCACAAAATCCCTTTTCCCGTTAAACACCAAGTCCTAGCAAATAGGGAGCATGACCTCTTCATTTTTGTATGTGTATAGATTTTAACACAGCCTCTCATGTTCTTGATTCTCATCAACATTTCTAGTCTTAATTTCTAAGATTAAAATCTGTGAACACAAAAAGAAAACAATTAAAAAATAAAATTATCCTTATGATTTTATCTTAAAGTATTTAATTATATAAACTGTTTTATTCATGTAAGTTAGGGTTTACATCCTCACCACTCTGTGGCCTGTTTTTTTTCCTCCTCCATGCAAATCTGGTAAGAAGATGACTGCTTACTGTAACTCAATTACTCACCAGTAAACAGGTTAATGCTTAATTTCTGGGTGCTGTTTCCTTTTGTGTACGAGCTGTCTTGTTTTCCCTGGAGATACTATATACTTTAACACCTCTGTGTGTTTCTTCAGGCTCTTCCAGACACCCACTGTCCTACTTTAACTTGGAAAAACTTAACCAATCCTTTAAGGCAAGGTGGAAATGTGCCCTTGGCTGACGTCTTCCTCCTCTTCCTCTAGAAGCAGAGTTTTCTACAACCTCTGTGTTATTCTACTTTCCCTGCCCTGAAATAGGTATGTATGACTGTCAGTGGTGGGATCATGCATCCATAAAAGCACAGTGTCTGGTCCATAATAATCACTTAATATGTGTTAAATTGAGCTAACCTAATGAATTAAACTGGCATAAGGTGAATATGCTGACTAGCTAGATAATAGACGATTCATTATTCAGCCAACCCTTATTTAGGATTCAATAGAATCACAGGTATCTGAAAGATAATCTAGTTCTGCCTCTTATATTTTGTGTTTTATGGAGAATTTAATTTGAAGAAAGGCTTCTACAGCATAAAACAGCATGAAAGCCACTGATACTGGACAAACTATTTTCAGATGAGTGAATTGAAGATTTTTTAATATAAAATCTAGGTAATTTGATTTATTTTGAAAAATTTAAAGACCCAGCAATAAGGTTTTGGTTTCTCATTCTTGAAA